CTATTGAAAAAAAAATGTAAACCTATTTAAACCGGCATCAAACAAGTTGATTTACGTTTTGAAAATCTCTAACATAAGCTTTATATATAGCGTTTCAGATAAATAATTCAGAACTATGTGGTTTACCAAGCGCCCATCATTTAGGAGTAACAGTGAAAACTGACCAACTCGCAGTAGGTCAAATAGTATGGTTAGGTTGAGTATGTATATATATTTTCTACTGAACTTTAAGCAATAAAATGGCTCAATACACGTTGTGTTATCACAAATTTGATTTCAAATTTTTCTATTTTGCTCTACGACTTCTTACATTCTGCAATCATGTCGGCAGATGAAATCATTGCCTGTACATTTTGAACGATCATCTTTAACCTTTTAATCAACTATTTCAGTTCTTTATAAATTGTTGGCCTTCAAATATTCGGCTTTGAGCGTTCCTGATAAAGGTAGATCTAGAAAAGCGCTTCGGACGCATGCAATTTTTAACGTTTTGTTTTCATTTTTTATCGATTGAATGACGGATCATATATTGCCTTGTATCATTGATTTTAGTTCTAAGTATTGGACAGTAGGAAAAATGAATTCAATGAACGTTGTGCTAGCCTCGAATGTGGGTGGTTGTTGATATCTTTTATACGCTGAATTTAAGAGTAAGACCAAATATTAGTAGCTTGGAGCCAGGATACTGTTATAAAGTATCTACATAAACTCACCATAGATAGATGCCAGGATGTAAACTTTGTATTTGCGCCAGACGCGCGTTTCGTCTACAAAAGACGTATCAGAGACGCTCGAATCAAATTAAGCTAAATAGGCCAATACAGTCAAATAAAATTAAAAAGGCCAAATAAAGTAAACGTTGACATCAAACTCATCGCGTTCTGGTTTTGTAAAAGCTGAACACATTCATATCATATAAACGTATACCATTAACATTCATTTATTTTCAGCCTGCATACTTATGTAATAGTTGCCGCTGTACATTAAGCGCTCATCTATCCATTTGTAGGTGTCGGCATTTTGAAAATTGAAATTAATTTTTAAAAGTTTATATCAGCGATAAATGGTAATCTATTTGGGAATCCGAAATATAAATATTGTCACTAAGGTGACACTATATTTTACCTCCCACAATAATGGTACGTTTTTCAGGTGCGGATCAATGAATTTGAAAAGGTGTGGGCCTAGTCAGGGAACGATCATTTAACTTCAAAGGGGGGTATGTCTTTTTCCTAAAAAAATATCTGATCCCCAATTTGATGGGGAAAAATATTCTGTACAAGCAGAGGACAAAAAAAATATTCTGTATCCAGATTTTCCCCATGCCATATAGTGTTAACTTATGAACCAAACAATTTGATTAATTACGTTAAAAAACTTAATAAAATTGTTCGCGCTTAGCGCGAAAAAAAAATCTCACCTCGACAAAACAACCATACCCCCGATTTTGAAGTTAAATGATTATTTTGTAGACAACGTTTGGACTGAGGCTTGTAAAAAGTATATGCATTTATCATATACGAAGCTCGATTAGGGGTCCTCAATCTGCCAATTTTTTAAAATAGAAAATAAAAGGAAACGGGATTTTTTTTGTATTAAGGGATATTTCCGTTATTGTTATTTGTGCATTTTTAAGTTAGCGTACGACAATCAACTTTCAGCAAAGTAAAAAAAGACAGTACCTGTCCAGTCATGATTTTTTAATTTTTGGCCATACACCAATGTTGCTCTCAAAAAACCAGGACAATGTAAAACGCTGAATTTTAATTAAAGCATTTACCTACAGAACGCTGAAAACTGAATATTTGAAAGCCAAGTAAATATAAGAACCGAAACAATTGAAAAGGTGTTTGGCCATATCAAAATCCATCTAAGGGCTACTTTGCCCGAGGCAGTTGAAACCTAAGTTTCTTTGTAATTTGTATGTAAATGAACTATTTTAAATGATCGATTGTTGGTTGAAAGTGGCATATATTTCATGCATGTTCAAGACGATAACAAATTGGCAATAAATACAACAGGAAGGGATTGTGCTTGATATTCATATGATGAAGACATAATCTTTCAATTATTTTAATTGAGGTCTGGAGCCGGCATGTCAGTAACTGCTAGTAGTCCTTTGTTAATTTATATATCATTAGTTTCTTTTGTTTCCTATTCTGACGCAGGACTTGGACTTCTTGTAAAATGCGTTTTACTGTGCGTATTGCTGTGTGTTTGTTTTTTTCTACATTGACTAGAGTTATAGGGGAGGGTTGAGATCTCACAAAACATGTTTAACCCCGCCCATTTGTGCGCCTGTCCCAATTCATGGGCCTCTGGCCTTTTTCGTCTTGTATGATTTTAGTTTAAGTTCATTGTTATATTTCGGAGTTTAGTATGACGTCCATTATCACTGAACTAGTACACATTTTTGTCTAGGGGCTAGCTGAAGCACGCCTATCACAACGTTCATTGCGACACCATGAATTCAGTATTCCTTCTGTATCAATACTTGTGTATTTCTATGTTGTGATGTTACGCTATTGTTTCAGATAAGTTTTTCTCGTTTCTCGTTTTTTATATAGATTAGACAGTTGTTTTCCCTGTTTGAATGGTTTAACACTAGTAATTTTATGGGCCCGTTATAGCTTGCTGTTCGGTGTGAGCCAAGGCTCCATGTTGAAGACCATACTTTGACCTATAATGGTTTACTTTTATAAATTGTGACTTGGATGGAGAGTTGTCTCATTGGCACTCATACCACATCTTCTTATATCTATTGGAACTGAAATCAATCATAAAAGGCAATATATTATCGTCATGCAATCGATAAATAAAGAAAACAAAACGTTAAAAATTGCATGCGACCGAAGCGCTTTTTCTGGATCTACCTTCATCAGGAACGCTCAAAAGTCGAATAATACTTACTGCTAGTTGGTCAGTTTTCACTGTTACTCCCAAATGTTGGGCGCTGGGGACACCAAATATTAGAGATTTTTTTTTAAAAAGTAAATCAACTTGTTTGATGCCGGTTTAAATAGGTTTAAAAAAATTTTTTAATAGATGCACAACATTAAAAATTTCAGGATACTGTGATGTCTAATATGATTTATAAAAATCCGAATTCTTCTTTTAATTATTTAGTTTGTAATTAAAATTGATTTGATATACTTCGTGCTTTTTATTCCTAACTAAGAATGATCATAATCAGAGCCGTGTTTACAGGTACCTCTTTTTTCGCCCCTTTTCTATTTTTGATATGTTAATCAAAAATTGAAAAAATCAAACTTTCAAAAAGCGAAATAATCAAAACTGCACGTTAAGTTTAGTACTTTTAAAGTTTGATCAAATATCTAAACTATCAAATTTAAAAACGATATTTAGAATTTAAAGATTTTAATTCTTTGGTGAAAATTTCAAAATTTCAAAACTTTTAAAAAATATGGAATTTTGATATTTTAAAACTTTGATCAAATTTAAATTCCAAAAATCTTAAATTTCAAAACTTTTTGAAATTTTGAATTGATAAGTGTTATACGGACCTATTACGATCTTTTGAAGGGTTAATTTTTTTCCCGCATAAAGATTGATTGATTGATTGTTGGTTGCTTAACGTCCAGTGGCAAATATTTCATGCATATTCAGGACGGGAACAAATTAACAATAAATACAATAGGTAGGTTCTGTAATAGGGGCGTCTGGGATTGAGATCGGAGAAATTTAGACTGCCACGGGAAATGAGGGTATATTGGATAGGGACAGAAATTTAGACTTGCAACAGGTCACCTACGGACCCCTCAAAGAGTTGTTGCAAGGGTTCTTAACGTGCAAAGAGCGTTCCCGCATAAAGAATTAGAATAACAAAATGTGTTGTTCCGATTAGGGGAAACATTAAACAAACGTTACACAAAACACAGTGTTACACAAATTGTGACAAATTCAAATTGAAATCCAGGCGTGAATCAAGCCATTTTGAAAGGTGGTTTAAACCACCGGAACACCATGAAATGTTGACATAACTGAAAAAAAGAAAAATCGAAAATCGAAAAATCGAAAAGGGGGGGAGGGGGTTTCGGGGGCTGGACCCCCCCCCCCCCCTTTTTCGATTTTTTGATTTTCGATTTTTCAAAATAATCAAAACTGCACGTTAAGTTTAGTACTTTTAAAGTTTGATCAAATATCTAAACTATCAAATTTAAAAACGATATTTAGAATTTAAAGATTTTAATTATTTGGTGAAAATTTCAAAATTTCAAAACTTTTAAAAAATTTGGAATTTTGATATTTTAAAAAAACTTTGATCAAAATTCCAAAAATCATAAATTTCAAAATTTTTTGAAATTTTGAATTGATAAGTGTTATACGGACCTATTACGATCTTTTGAAGGGTTAATTTTTTTCCCGCATAAAGAATTAGAATAACAAAATGTGTTGTTCCGATTAGGGGAAAACATTAAACAAACGTTACACAAAACACAGTGTTACACAAATTGTGACAAATTCAAATTGAAATCCAGGCGTGGAACAAGCCATTTTGAAAGGTGGTTTAAACCACCGGAACACCATGAAATGTTGACATAACTAAAAAAAAGAAAAATCGAAAATCGAAAAATCGAAAAGGGGGGGGTCCAGCCCCCGAAACCCCCCCCCCCCCCCCCCTTCAATGAAAAATATATATTTTTAATGTAGTGATCGATAGGGAGCGTAATATAACGACTGGATTTTTTTTATAAATGCTGAGACTATATATGATTCATATATAATTTTAAATGATTTCCGATAGTTAACTAATTATTCTTTAAACCGTTTTTGTATAAATAATGTAGGAAAATAGATTGGGTCTCCCATAATTATAATTTTACAAATGTGGATTTTCGGTAAATGAAAATTTTGAAAAGTGTTACTTGACGTAATATGTTGACGTACTTTTAACTCAATATCGTAAGCTCTCAGTTCAAATTGACGTTCGGGATACGGAAACCAGTTTCCCGCCATATCACACTTTCGGAAAACCTCGCCAGACCTTCTTTCAGTTTCAGGTCATTGATATTCCCGGATAATGTTCGGATTGTCCAATATCCAGTTCAAACCTTCTTTTCCTATCATAGGAAGGTCGGAAACATATTCGTCTGTGAGTATCTTTGTTTATTATCATTTAGATAAGGGAATGCGGCGATTAAAAATGAGATTTCAATCCGTGTTGATTCTGTTGAAAACGAAAGTAGAAATCAACATGTGCATATGCACCATTTTTTGTTGCATATTTTGACCTTTCCAACATGTTCCAAAGTACAAGGCATTTGCGCATTTTATGTACAACATGATTCAAGATTCGTTGTGGTTTGAATAGACAGATAGAGGGGATAAACGGTTACTAAATATAAATTGTTAAACATAGTACTTACATGACTTAGTGATAAGTATGTGGTTTAAAAATAGAAAAATTTAACAGGTTGAGAACAAACCCTCTATATGGTGTTTATAACTGTATAGAGGGATTATCCTTCTATAGAGGGATTAAATTATCCCTCTATAACGTCACAGTACCCAAATTGCACCTATTCAACAAAAATAGCTGATGAAATCTTTCAAGTTTTCTTTGAGACTAAACAATTTGTATTTTTATGATTTGACATTATATACGTCTTACAACATAGGTAAATATATTTAAATATACACAAAACGTTCACAATATATATCAACAGATGAAGCATTCCCTGGAAAAAGTAAATCTACGGAAACGTCGCATATGCGACGTTCTCAAAATGTCATCTTTTAAAAATGAGAAAATTAAACATGTTACAAGCATCCATTTCTTAAAAAATGAATAGTAAGCATGGAATAATGTCAAATTGTTCAAAATATTTGAAGAAATAAAACAAAACTTCTGTTATTCGATATTGAAGGATGTGAATTTAAACATGGATGCAATTTGGGTACTCCTCATTACATATCAAGGATCGTTTGGAGGTCGGTTCAAACCCATTTTTCTATGATTCAATATGGATTCAAAATTAAATTGGTGTAACTATATAGTAAAAAAGGACACGTCTACAAAATAAACACAGAATGGAAACTTTTGTCTGGATCATAAAAAAACGTAGGTGAAAAAACTGTCAAAATAGGTGCAATTTGGGTACCCTCACGTTAGACATGTTAGAGGGATATATTTTTTTAGACTGGATTTAAAGCAAAACATGGCAAATGTGCATTTTCTACTTATGATGGCAGTAACCTGCAACATTTGATGCACCAATTGATGTACTTCATTAATATGCACATTTCCAGTTTACTGCTAAAGTGACTGAATATACAATCTATTGTTCATCTGACATCATCATGATCATAATTGAAAGCTGTGATGATCAGGTAAATTCCACTCAGTTATGCCTCAATGAACAGATTTCTATTGTTAGATTTAACTAAAATTTAAAGGTCAACTGTCCCTATTGTTGCTGATCAGGTGTTCAGATAGGTACACAATAGATTGCATGTTCTGTCACTTTAGCAGAAAACTGGGCATCACAATTTTTAGTAAAGTGCAATAACTGATACATAAAATGCTATAGAAATATAGCCAATATAACCAGAAAATGCCAATTTGCCATTTTCCTGCTTTAAATCCAGTCTAAACAAATATATCCCTCTTTAAAGGGATAATTTAATCCCTCTATAAAAGGATAATCCCTCTATACACATACCTGCCAAGTTTTCAAAATTTCCATGGGGGATTTCAAGAGCGAGATGACTAAATGCTCCTCTTATATTGTCATAAGACTTTCTAATCTACTACTATATTGTTTGAATGAGTATGCATGTGCTTAAATCCCCTTTTAACTCATTTGAATGCCTGTTTTCAGGTGTTAAATTTGTATAATAACGAATTTCAAAATTCAGGTCAACACCTCTCATGGGGGAAATCCCCCATAAAGCATGAAGGTTGGCAGGTCTGTATACAGGTATAAACACCATATAGAGGGTTTGTTCCAAACCTGTTTAATATTCAGTGCCAACAATGAAGAAAATCCAAATCCTGTTCTCAAGTGTCTGTGATTGATTTAATATAAATAAAACATATGGCATACATATCAAAATTAAACCCACCCTCCTGTAAACCCATGTATACCTAGCTCCCGTTAAACAATTTCAAATCTTCTTCGTGAAAACTTATTATGCAGGCAAAGTAAATGGTGAAGTTTATTTTAATAGTTTTTGGTCCTCAATGCTCTTCAACTATATGCTTAATTTGGCCTTGTTAACTTTTTTGATTTGAAATTGAGCGTCGCTGATGAGTCTTTTGTTGATGAAATGAGTCTCTGTCATACAAACTTTTAATCTAGGTATTTATGACAACTATATTCATTATGTCATTGTATCATCTTGAATCAATGGAGGATTCATTTAGGGATGTATAAGGGGTACGTCACTTCTTTGATTGGAAACAAATACGGCGGGGGCATTAAGTTTTACCCTTGTCCGTCTGTACGTACGTACGTCCCAAAATTGGTTTCCGTTCTCTAACTTGAGTTTGCCTCAACCGAATGTTATGAAACTTATACACAATGCTTATTACCACAAAACACAGATCAAGTTTGAATTTTGGTGGCGTCACTTTATCCGTTCTAGAGTTATGCCCCTTTATAAATGGAAAAATTGCAAAATTTTTAGTTTCTGTTCTCTAACTTAAGTTTACCTCTACCAAATGTTATGAAACTTATACACAATGCCTACTACCACAAAACACAGATCAAGTGAGAATTTTGGTGGTATCACTATAACCGTTCTAGAGTTATGCCCCTTTATAAATGGAAAAATTGCAAAATTTTTATTTTCTTCTAAATATCAAGTAATTTTTTAAATTGGAGTTATCTTCCTTTGTCCATGATTATTCTTGAGCATGCTGAAATGAGATGCTGTGAACATAATTGTCATTGTAAATAGCACCCATTTCAAAATATTTGATTGCTTGCAAAAATTATTTAGGCACATTCCTTTGATTGGGAAAAATTCAATTTTTTGGCAAAAAAACTTCAAAAATTGTTTTGCCTCTTGCATTGTCAACGTATATTGGTTCCGTCTAACAGAAGTTCCACTGGAAACTTTGTTATAAACAATGTCATAATATCTGTTCCTGTTGGAACAAATATTCTATACCATTTATTCCGTTAGGAACATTTACCATGTTTACTGTAACATTTATTCCAGTGGAAATAATATTCCAGAATATTGTTTCCATTTGGAACTTATATTATGAAGGAACTTCTATTCCATGACAGCATGTCTTGAATTACCATTACATACAATAACTCAATTCAAAAATGTACAATGCTATAATTTGCATAGTGGTTATTCATCCCATACAATTAGAGTAGCAAAAACATGTAACAAATAAAATTATATAATTTATAATTTTTTTTTCTTAACCATGTTAACCAATTGTATACACATAATTATTTATTTGGCTGGCAGTATTCATGGTATTTGCCATCTTCGCTAGCCAAGGGTTACGATCCAGTCCACTCCTCTCCACCCTTGGCAGATTTAGCCAACATTTGTGATTACAATGCGGCGCCATCTACCGGTAGATAGAAGTCACACCCATTTCTACTACATCATTCTTGTCCCTATAGCAGCATTTGAACTCTCTTCAGTGTGAAGGTGTAAAAATAGTTGTATGTAGTGTTTACAAATTTTGTGAAGCAGGAACTGAAAATATACGTTGACATTCCAACATTTGCTCTAGAAACATACCCAGGAACTTTAATTAGTTGAATAAGAACTTTAAATTGTCACTACATATCGTCCTATGGTTTGAGGGTAAAGACTTGTTGCACAATCTGCATGTGGCAATTGTTTATTTACATTTTCCACATTTACACGTGATCATCTTAAAGGTGCTTTTTAATTGGATGCAGCCAGTTACAACTGCGACCAATGGAAATCATTACCTCGTGGATTCGAAATTCTATCTTAATCAGCCAAGGGTGGAGAGGAGGGGACTGGATCCTAACCCTTGGCTAGTGAAGATGGGTATTAGCAGTCAGGGGACTTACTTAAATGAGTGATTTTCTAAATCACTGATTCAAGTAACATTATGTACATAAAGGTTGGAAGTAAGAGTTGTCTTTCTTTAATAATCACCTATTTAAGTAGTACAAATTAATCACTAGACTAAGTGATTTAATTTTATTGTAGCTTTAAATATAGAATACTAATAATCCAGGGACTAATTATGTTGCTAAAATTATCAGAACCAACATCTGTGTTGATAGGATGATGGTCATGTCAGGTGATGACCTTGTACTAAATCTAGGATAATGACATAAAAATCACTTGTTTAAGTATCATACCTCAATTTTCTTCCAAAAAATCACTTCTTTAAGTATCATTATTTTAATAACCTCCACTAATTTCAACACCCCCGAACAGTGAAATTTTGATGGCGAACAGTAGAATTTTATTACATAATCTATAAGATGAAACCTTGAACTTTACAGGAAAAATACTCCCACTGCTGGGAAAAATCTGTTAAGAAAGTATCAGTTCATTATGTAAAGCCATTTTTATAGCATTTTTTCAACTAAAATAGAATTTGCAGCTAAATGATTGCATCAAAGGCATAAACCTTGCTGCTTAAAAGAAGCAAAAAGTTCATTTTTTTCAATTTTACTAATGAAAAGATATTATCTAAACCTATGTGTTTAAAATTTTGGTAAAACTACAAAATCACAATTTATGACAAAACTTTGAATTTGCTACTTAAATAAGTGATTTAAAAATCACTTATTTCAATAAGTCCCCTGACTGATTAGCATATACATGATATAATTTAAATGTTTAAAAAATTTAAAAACTAACCATACATCTACCTTTTCTGTTTGACAGGAATTACATGTATTATACAAGAAAGATGTTGAACATAAAGGAAATTCCATGTCCAGTTGTACTGGTGATTTTTTGTGCCATTGCCAAAACTGCAATAGGTTCAGGTGGATGTCAGACTTCCAAGTTGATCAACTTTCATCCATGTCCAACCTGGCCAGAACAAAACATGTACACAGAAGATGATGGTCCCATTTATTTGCTATGCTCAGTGATTTCAAATACCGGTACTGTTGCCCTTACGTGGTACAAAAATGGAACAGAACTGAAATCAGATCAACAATATCCTTTTGTAGATATATAATTTGACTTATATCGGTGAAATTTGGTTGAATGATTTTGATGTACATAAATGACTTAAAAGAGAGGTCGAAGACACCAATGGGATACTCAAACTCATAACATGCATAAAGTCAATGAACAACTGACAAAAATGACTGACACATTATGCATGACTAAAAACAAAAAAATTACACAAAAACAAACAACAGTATACATATTACATGTATATTACAACATTAAACATGTTAAAAAAGACTGAGCAACAAGTACCCCGCCTAAAACTTAGGGTAATCTCAGGTGCTTCAGAAGGGTAAGCAGATCATGCTCCACATGCAGCACCAGTCAAGTTGCTCATGTACAAACTCAGCATTGCTCAGTGATAAGTCTAATGTTGACCATTTCCCCATTAAAAAACTATTTTATGAATTTTTATTAATAACACCACATGTCATTTTTTAGGGAAATCTCTTGAAAAATACAAAAATGATAAATTGGTCATTCAAAATAATTTTTCTTGGGTCAGATGACAAATTTTTCTTCATACTTATACCTTGTGAGCTAGTGTGTTAAAAATCTGACCTGGCGTTTCTTGGGTAGGGTTACATATCTTCCTTCAGACATTTACCTTGTCATGCTTGTGAGCTAGTATGTTAAAAATCTGACTCTGCATTTCTTGGGTAGGGTTACGCATCTTCCTTAAGACATTTTTACCTTGTTAACTAGTATGTTAAAAAATCTGACTCGGCATTTCTTTGGTAGGGTTACACATCTTCCTTCAGACATTTTTGCCTTGTTAGCTAGTGTGTTATAATCTGACTCAGCATATAAATTGAGAACTAAGCAAGGAATATCACAAGACATTAATACGCTAATTATCTTCATGATCTTTATGAATTTACTGCATGTAACAAAATGATGCTGGGAAAAAGTTGTAATAACAGCTTTGTTTATCTCCTTTTGTAACGATAACTAAGCCAAAATTTTGTCAAATACCATGCAGCATTAAGCATATTATGCTGTTCATAATAAGAGTAAAAGGAGATGTGGATAAAGGCAAGAAACGAAGCACCCAAACAACAGAAAATAACACAGTCTTCAACAATGACAAGTGTCAATATGATATATTATTATATGTCGATCCTTAACTTAATTGTGAATAAATTTAAAAGATGCTATTTTAAAAAGGTCTGAATCATACCACATCTCCTTATTTTTGTACTGAATGTCAGTTCACATCAAGATCTTTTTGTGAACATTTATGATAATATTCATTCTTAACCAGATGCACATTTCAACAATAAATGTCTCTTCAGTGATGCTCAAGGTCAAAATATTTGAAAATCCAAAAATTATTAAAAAGACAAAGAGCTTATAAACCTATAAGGTCCAATAGTCATTACAGTATAGCCAAAGCTGGGCAAGGAATCAGAGCTTTTCATGAGGGAGAAAAAACCCAAGAAAGAAAAAAAAAGGCATTTGATGAATTTCATCTTGCTCTTACATTCTGGCAAATGGTAATGAAAACGTATGTTCTGATTGTCATTTCCACAATCCTGTCTCCTTTTCCTAAAATGTGACATCTGTTAGCACTGAATTAGACTTATCCTTCAGTTAGTTTTCACATTAGCAGCACAATAGATGCCTCATACAGAGCAGGATCTGCTTACCTTCCAGAGCACCTGAGATCACCCCCAGTTTTTGATGGGGTTCCTGTTGCTCAGTCTTTAGTTTTCTGTCTTGTGTTTTGTATACTATTGTTTGTTTTTTGGTAGTCTTTATTTTTTTGCCATAGAGTTGTCAGTTTGTTATTGATTTATGAGTATGAATATCCCTTTGGTATCTTTCGCCTCTCTCTGATCCTTCTTACTGTATAAAATATATACTTTTTTCCTGCTTTCTTGCAGTAAGAATAGGGTAGCAAGGTAGGTACAAAATGTTTTATTTTTGAAAAATATTTTTAAAAACATCATGAACATAGGGAAATATGTTGGACTGACTTAAATATAGTGCTTAGCCAATAATGCTGATTAAAAATACAATATATACAGGTTGGTAGAGATGCCAGAAACAGAACTGTATATTTTTTTGACTAGATGTACAAACAACATGAACAATGATTGTTTATAATCCTTAACATATTTTTACTATATATATCAGCGATGATAAACAACGTTTAAAAATAGAACTTCCTGTACAGGAGGATTCTGGGTATTATTCCTGTAAAGCTGCGATGGCTAACAGTTCTATAACCTATGAAGGATATATTTTGGTGACTGGTAAGTTGTCCTCAGATTATAGTTTTTGCTATTTAGCAATCTGATTAAAATACTGATCCTGTATCTACGCTTCACTTTATACTCATAATTTAAATTCAGAAACTATAGCGATGTTTTTATTATTATGAATAACATGAATAAGGTGACTGGGTGAATATCACAATAATATAACACGCATTCTAATATCTGATATATCTGTATGAAGATTTGCCTGAAATCACAATGATTAATCTTGCATTTTTGTCATTTCTCCAAAAAACGCAATGATAATTGCTTGCAATAATTTCTGAATTTCCAGTACGTGTATGTAGCAATGTTCCTTACTACATTCTGTTACAAAGAGCTTTCAAGATCCTCTAGTTTTGTCGTAATGTTACATTAAAAATTTGAAGGCATTGGCTAATGTAATTATTACCAAAACAGACTGTTGTCAGATACTTTTAAGGAAAGATAAAGTTTAGAAATTGTTTATAGTATGCAGACTGAACTGTCACTTTTTGTTTAAGTTTTCAGGATAGATATTTACAATAACTTGGGTATCCCTTAAAGTTGATACAACAGTTTGATAATAAATGACTGCCAATCTGATCCACAGTCATTTTCTTGGTTTCAAGGGGTGGATCAAGGATTGTTGGGATGGAAAGTTGGGGTAATTGTCAGAAATGGTAAAAATGCTGCTGAGCCCCTATCATGCCTATTGAGGCAATCTTTTGAAAAAATGTTTTATGCCAAATTATGATATATTTCCGATCAAAGGAGGGAGGGGCATACACCCTTTATATGACCCCTGTCACCCCAATCCCAAACTGCTTCCTTGTGTAAATTTTTGAAATTTGTTAATTCTGAAAGCATTACACATGATGTATATATATGTTGATGTTGATTTTTTTAAATTAAAATTTTTTATTTTATCTTTCATGTTTTGTAACATTCCCTAATTATACCCCCGCTTTAAAAAAGTGGGGTTATACTGTTTTACCTCTGTTTGTCCATCCTTCAGTCCATCCATCCGTCCCATAAATTTTTTTTGTCATATTTTTCTCAGGAAATACAGTACAAGGATTTCTGAAATTTGTTTTCAGGGTTTATATAAGTCCGCTATACCATGTGATGCGTTTTCAGATTCATCACTCAACAACTTCCTGTTTACCTTATACTTTTAGCGGGTGAGGGTATCATTAGTGAGCAGTAGCTCACAGATTCACTTGTGTTATACCTGTAGAAAATATAACGCTCATTTTCTCTCCAAAAGAACAGGTTTTGATCATACACATAACTTTAAATTTAAACACTGGAGGATTAAGAAGTGATTTTTTTACGACGTATTATTGTATACAAATGTCGTCTATCTGTCCGGTGTAAACATGTCGCACCGTAACTTGAGAACGACTTATCCAAATTTCATGAAACTTAACATAGTTGTTTCTTATGATGGTCAAACGATCTGTATACGTTTTGGTGAAAATAAGATTAAAACTTTTTGAGTTACGGGACTTAATAACTAAAACAGGTGTGTGTTTTTTTTTCACATGTCGCGCCGTATCTCAAAAACAATTTATGATTATTGCTTAAAACTTTACACACTTCTTAGTTATATTAATCTTAAGATCTGTATACTTTTTGGTGATGATTCAAAATTTTATTTTAGAGATATTGAGTATTTTTTTTAAAAAGGGGGAGGGGTTTTTCACATGTCGCGCCGTATCTCAAAAACGATTTATGATTTTTGCTTAAAATTTTACACACTTTTTAGTTATATTAATCTAAAGATCTGTATACTTTTTGGTTTTGATTCAAAATTTTATTTTAGAGATATTGAGTTTTTTGTAAAAAAAGGGGGTTTTCGCATGTCAGGCCGTATGTCAGAAACTATTTATGATTATTGCATAAAAATTCACACACAAGATGACGGGCGTATCATGCGCTCATGGCGCAGCTGTTTATTTTATAATATATTAATTTTTTACAGAGGCTTTTCCTGTTACTCATCCTAGAATTGTTCATACTGTACCATTAGACCAAGAACAGAAAGTATTTTTGGGATCCAGTACAAATATCAGCTGTACCTTTGATGTTGGGACTGAAATGTCAACGGTAATTTATTTATCAGCTAAAAAATGATAAATGGGTTAGTTAAGGCAAAATAAAAATATATGTGTGATTCCAGTTGCATCCTGAAAAAAAAATAGGATCGGTAAGGTCAGCTTTTTAGTCCCCTATCGACGAAGTCGAAGGGGACTTAAGATTTGCACTCTGTCCCTCTGTCTGTCCATCCGTCCGTCCGTCTGTCAATCCTTCAGTCCGGCAAATCAGTTTTCCAGACTTTTTTTCTTCATGCTTGAAGATATTGATTTGATATTTGGTGTATTGTTTTATCATGACAAATTACAGTTGAAGTTTGATTTTCAAGATTTTAGCTTTTCTCCTTGTTCAGTTAAAGCCCTTTCCCTAGAATTAAATTTTTGATGAAATACAAGTTAATTACTAGATTTCTGTTCAAAGGGAATTAACTCATTTTTTAACTTTCCCTAGAATTAAATTTTTGATAAAATACTTATTACAGTCAGGGGTACTACTTGTACAAGTAATTTTTATTTACTGGAAGAAGTAAATATTAATATACTTATATAAGTAAATTTGTAGGATACTTATACAAGTGTATTTTATTTACTTGTATAGGTAAAAAAAAAAATGGTCTTAGTTATGTCCCTTAGACATTCAGATTTTTTTACTTATACAAGTAAAAATGTCATCCTATCTTCTTTTCTTGAATTCTTAGGACTTCTTTGCTCTAATAGAATTTTTGATTGTCTGTCCTTTGCAGATGTCTTTACTAATCATTTAAGTGTAATTTCATGGACAATGAAAATCTCATTTGTCTGTTATCTTCAGAACACTGCTCATTTACAAGCCCCCAAGGGGCAATTTTTGAAGGCCTTGCGCAAATACTTAAGATCTTTGCGCAATCAGTTTTTTTGTTGAATTAATGTGATGAAACATTGAACTCTAATCAAAAATTATGAGCTAACCTGAGAAAAATTGTTAAAGACATGTTTTTACATCTCAAAACTTGAGAATTTTTGTAGGATTGTAAAAAAAAATTACTTATACAAGTAAATTTTTGAGAAAATTAAGGGGAGATTATTCAAACATTATAATTAACTTATATAAGTATATTTAATTTACTTCTTCAAGTAAATAAAGATTACTTGTACAAGTAGTACCCCTGACTGTATTAATTACTAGATTTCTGTTCAAAGGGAAATAACTCTTTTTTTTTTTAAAGATTTGTAAAAGACATTGTATTAAGATAAATGACATTTTGGATTTTTTTCCTTTTCTTTAGTAAATTGTTTGAAGAATTTAGTGGTAGGTTTGCTCGATTACGATGAATTTTTAACCGGTAGGGGACTATGTATTGCCATGCAATACTCACAGAATGCTTGTTTTTTTTTTATTGTTAAAATCCAGAAAAATATTGTGTGTTCACCGAGTCTGATAATAGATAAATAGACACTTTAAATCACAAAAAATTATCAGCAAGGCAAGATCTACTAACAAGTCAAATTTTTCGGATATAGTTTAGTAGACTGTCACTCTTTATAAGAGTGATTGCTCTTAAAAGAGGATTATTTTATGCCCAACCTACGATAGTAGATGGGCATTATGTTTTTTGGTCTGTGCGTCCATTCGTTCTTCCGTCTGTCCCGCTTCAGGTTTAAGTTTTTGGTCAAGGTAGTTTTTGATGAAGTTGAAGTCCAATCAACTTGAAACTTAGTACACATGTTCCCTATGATATGATCTTTTAATTTTAATGCCAAATTAGAGTTTTGACCCCAATTTCATGGTCCACTGAACATAGAAAATGATAGTGCGAGTGGGGCATCCGTGTTCTATGGACACATTCTTGTGTTTTGAACAAAAACTAAAGAAGATAGGGAGAAACTAATCAGACTAAATGATCAGCAAAACAACATCAACAAAACAGAGATTTTTGTCATGCATTTTTTTAAATTTAGTAAATATATTTGAAAATCATACATGCTATTTATTGCAACACATAAGTACACCACCATTATGGCTATCAAGTAGAAAATCTACAAAGAAATCAGATTCACATTTTTGCATAAATAAACTGATATGAACTACGTACAATTATAAAACACTTTAATATATCAGGGGTTCAAATTTGCTGTAAATAATGAAAGGTCCAGGACCATTTAAAATTTAAGTGATAGGTCCTCCATAAGAAATCAATGGTCGTGTATAAAGCATCAGTGTAAAAAATGGTAGGTCCATGACTTTTGTAATTTAAAAATGAAAAGTCCTCTCCTAGAAAAGACAGGTCCCGGACCTCGGACCCACACTAATTTGAACCCCAGTTTATGAGTTGTGAATTCTAATTTTTAACAGCCAGTTTGGTTCAGTTTTGTCAAAATAAGCAAAGAAACATCGCTAATGAATTAAATTGCAAGTGAATAATTCAACCTCATTAAATCAATATTCATGTGAACTTCAATTGAACCTCTTAGCTAGAGATGGGTTATGCATGAACTAGTTCAGCTATTAAAAATAAAAGAATGTCAATATTGGAAGTGAAACGAGGGTAAACCATTTGATTGACTGATTCGATCTACAAAAAGTCATTGTTATACAGGTAAAAAGGATTATTAACATATTTTTATACGACCGCAAAAAATTTTGCGGTCGTATATTGGTATGACGTTGGCGTCGTCCGAAGACACATTGGTTTTCGCACTCTAAGTTTAGTTTAAGTGAATGGATCTCTATGAAATTTTACCATAAGATTCAATACCACTAAAAGGTGGTTGGGATTGATTTTGGGGTTATGGTACCAACAGTTAAGGAATTAGGGCCAAAAAGGGACCAAAAATAAGCATTTTTGTAACTTCAAGACATAACTTGTGTGTTAGTGTATGGATCTCTCTGAAATTGTACCACAAGGTTCCATATCACAATGGGAATGTTGGGATTGATTTTGGGGGTAATTGCCTCAAAATTGTAGGAATTAGGGGCCAAAAAAGGGGCAAAAAACAAGCATTTTTCTAGTTTCATGATAATAACTTGTGTGTAAGTGTATGGATCTTTCTGAAATTGTACTGCAAGGTTCCATATCACAAAGGGAAAGCTGGAATTGAGTTTGGGGGTAATTGCCCAAAACTTTTAGGAATAAGGGGCCAAAAAGGGGCCAAAAATAAGCATTTTCTAGTTTCCAGACAATAACTTGTGTTCAAGTTTATGGATATCTCTGAAATTGTACTGTAAGGTACCATACCACAAAGGGAAGGCTGGGATTGAGTGTGGGGGTGATGAATCATAAGGGGGTTCAAAAAATTTGGGGGAGGGATTTTTTTTTTTCCTTAAAATTTTCCATTTTAAATTGGTTATTTCTGATTTATATATAAAAGCAAATAATAATGATATGGTTTGAATAGGTAAATTAAAATTTTTTAAGTTCTTAGACCACATTCATTCTGTGTCAGAAACCTATGCTGTGTCAAATATTTAATCACAAGCCAAATTTAGTGCTGTATCAAGCTTGAATGTTGTGTCCATACTTGCCCCAACTGTTCAGGGTTGGACCTCTGCGGTCGTATCAAGCTGCGCCCAGCGGAGCATTTTATTATACCTGAAATATGAAATCAAACAGACCTAGAAAAATCCAATTGCATGAGTATGATATCTATTTATATTATGTTTAATATGTTTTTATCATATACTTGTAGAAAATAATGGTATAATTGTACCCCTTGATAAAACTAATTTACACATATATTTATTCAATAAATTTGAAGAATTGTCTTAGCCGTGTGATTTGACTTTTGTTATCAACTGCTTCCGGTATATATCAACTGTTTCCGGTTTATATCAACTGCTTCCGGTTATTATCGCATGCCTTTCTTTAACGTAATCGCAAAGCATTTCGACGTCATTCTGCAAATTCCGGAAAATAAACCTCAGTGGTACATTTTTATAAAAGTGAAAAAGATAGCTAAGTAGAATAACAGAAGGAATATTAGGAAATAGGAAAATATATTATTAAAAAACGCAAAACAAATAATACAATAAATGAATTTTATAAAGTTTTGAAAAAGTTTTCATGTCTGTATGGCTTCTGCTGAGGTATATGATAAAAAGAACATAACATGTCATTTTTCATATCAGACCCCTTATCAGCCCATGGTCAAAATCATCCCTCGAGCCTGTTGGCTCTCGGGCTGATATCATGACCTAGGGCTGATAAGGGGTCTGATATGAAAAAATGCCATGTTATAATATATATATATCAGGTTATATGAATGTAGGCAGTCTTCTGAGGTCACCTTGATGTTTAATTAGATGGTGTCTTAACTAAAATACACACAAAATGCTGATACATATTATCGAGTCTGTGCATTGTAAATTGTTTATTTTTAGACTTTTAATTATTTTGATATAGGTTTTAGTATGTTATAAATCAAATATGAGAATTTGAGTCAAATCGGTGAACATGAATTTGACAGCCAATGCCCCTTTAAATACTTTGTATATTTTTTATTTTTTCTTTACAGCCGGAAAAAATGCAGTGGAGTAAAAATGGTGATTTATTGTATGATAATAACACTAACCTGGAATATCAGATCTTCAACCTTGAAAGTCAGACTGTTCTAATGTTACAGATACAGAATATATCTGTAAGTAAGGTCTGCTTACCTTATACCGAGTTAGACCAACTGAAGGTAGTTGTGATCAATTCTGTCATGTGATCAATTTTGTCTTGTAACTGATTTTTACAGTTTGTTCTTCTGTTGTGCTGTTACAACACTCCAAGATCAGGGGGATGATTGAGCACTCACAAACATGTTTAACCCCGCCACATTCTTTATGTGACTGTCCCATACCAGGAGTCTGTAGTTAAGTGATTGTCGTCCGTTCATTTCTCATATTTGTTTTTTTTGTAAATTGTTTTGGTATGAATTATGCCGTTAGTTTTCTCTTTTGAATTGTTTCACATTTTTCATATTGGGGCCTTTTATAGCCATCTATACAGTATTGGTTTTTCTCATTTGATTGAAGGCTGTACACTTTGTCTATAATAGCTTACACCCCCTTCATTTAAACTCTGGTGGATAGTTATCTCATTGGCAATCATACCACTTGTCCTAATTATTATATTGAGGGTCTGGAAGGGGTTAACAGAATAGAGAATAATGTGCCCCATAAATAAAGAATAGAGAATAATGGGCCCCATAAATAAAGAATAGAGAATAATGGGCCCCATAAATAAAGAATAGAGAATAATGGGCCCCATAAATAAAGAATAGAGAATAATGGACCACATAAATAAAGAATAGAGAAAAAGAGGCCCAAGAAATAAAGAAGAGGATGTTCAAAATAAAAGCCTAGAGAATAAGGATCAAAAAATATAAAGAGTAAAGAAAAATGTTGTCTCATTGACAATCAAACCACATCTCCTTATTTTTATTTTAGAATATATATATATAGAAATTTGGGCCCACATTTTCAGCTTTAACCCCAACATTTGATTGTTTGAGGTGTTTTTATCAAAAAATTTCAACCAACAAATCAGATGTTACAACTGCTCACGGGGGGGTCTCAACATTGGATTTTGGGTACAGTTGTGTAGCTGGGATTTAAAAAACACCCCCCATTCATATATTGAATGATTGTGAAATCCCTACCTATACATATATTTCACAGCGAAATCATAACCCATTCATATATTTATCAGCTCAAATAGTACCTAAATATATCACAATTGGTCAATTACTACCTATTGATATATTTCCTCGGTAAAATTGCACCCCATTGATATATCTGACGTATCAAAAAAGGGACCCATTCCAGCGGCACATATGTATATACCTTCATATAGGAAGAGACCCCCCCGTGCAACTGCTAGATGTGACAGAATTGATCACATGACAGAATTGATCACAACTATACCTTCATCATCATCACTTTTTCATTGATCGATTAAAATTCCAAACATCAGTATACTGCTACAGATAGTATGATATGCCAATCCACAAACCAGTGAAAGTAAACTATGTATGTAAATTTGATACATTTATTACATGATCAAAACAGAGTAAAAAAGATAAAAGCATACTAATATGAAAACTGCTTCTAGGTGAAATGAAATAAAATAACACTTTTTACATTTAGCATGTTTAGTGAGTACAAAGTTCTTTTCATGATTCTATTGTTCTTCATCACCAACGCTCAAACTCAAAAATTTGAAAGCTAAGGGTGTATCAGTACTTGAAAAGTGAGGAGCTATATGACCTAAAGGGACATTAGAGAATAGCCAAATTAAATCTAACTATTGTCAAGATAAATAATCTGGGCCACCCTTAACAAATTCTTTGTTTGCTGTTCCCTACCCATGCATTGGTTGGGTAGGTAGGTAGGGATTTTTTTTTTTGGCCAACAACATAAGTTACATGTTTGAGACAAGAAAAGACGTTAGATCTAGAAAAGAATTTTTTTTTAAATTGAAACAATTTGTGTCATAAAATTTTTTGGGAAGGCTGCTTTTTAGGTGGGTAGGAAGGCAACATCAAACAATTTTAATTTTATTTTTGGACCTATGGTTGGCAACTTGGGTAGATAGGCAACATCAGACGATTTAAATTTTATTTTTGGCCCTGTGGTTTGCAAATTGTCACGACATAGCTTATGTATTGGTAGGTAGATGATTTGGGAGTGTACCAGTGTTATGGAAAGAACGGTTATGGATCTGATTCAAGGAATATAACTTTACTGAGAGATGTGAATCCAGGGGGAAGTGGTGAAGTCAAAGTATGGCTTCTCATAGCTATTTCTGGCGGGGCAGCCTTCATTGTTCTGATGTTTATCGTTTCTATAGTGATTGCTGTTTGTAGAAGAAAACATAATGAAAAAATTGATTGGGAAGATCCTGACTTAGAGCATTATGAAGGTTTGTATGCAAATTGATAAATAAATAATGGAATAATTGTTTTTACCAAATTAGGAAAAATTAATTACCAGAAAAACTTCTCATCCTGAATAATTTAATTTGATTTATAATGTGAATTTTAAATTCTTGTATCATCAAAAGCCAAACCTGTTCGCGAGGTTTTATTTTTCAGGTTTTTTTTTCTTTAAACTGATCTTCCTTAAAGAACAAACTCACCACAGGAATGTTTTTGGTATTTTATGTTAATCACAAAATTAGCAGAAATAAATCCCTCACTAAAATTTCTTCCATACAGTATGCACTAAATATTTTCTTCTTGATGTTGAGCCAAAAAAAAAAATCAATAAATTGATCAATAAATTTATTTTTCAGTTCCGCAGCATAAGTTAGAATATGATGTGTTTATATCCTACAGTAGCGAGGATGAAAAATGGGTGAAAGAAACACTGTTTACTAATCTTGTACAAAATGGTTACCATGTTAACATTGACTTTAAAGATTTTGTGCCAGGTATGATTACCATTTCTTATTTATACAATTAGACAAGTCTTGATAGTCTTATAGAAAATAAATACTATATGAATGATAGAAGTGACATTGTCGACAAAATATCTACCAAATGGGGTTATCTCCCCTTATTGAAGAAAGGAATTTTTGAAACAATTAAAAAAAAAAAACAATAGCAACACATGACAGACTAAATGATTGATTAATTTTGATTTGAAATAAGAATTACAATCTATTTTATTTCATAATTTGGGAAATGATATTAATAGAAGATAACCAAACAAAATGTATGTTTGTTTAGGATATTTTTTTAAAGAAAAAAAAAGGTACATGTAGGTAATCTTGTTAGTGTAGGTAAGAACACCAAATTCTTTGGTAGACAAAAACATAATTATGTAAAAGACAACTTATGCCAAGTTTCCTGACTTGGAAAAGGCAAGATTTACATGTGGAGGGGTCAGACTATTTGTTTAAGTTCTTAACTCTTCAGCTTTTATTTCTGAAATTTTAGTCTCCTTGACCAAGTAAATATGAAGTTTCAAATTTGCAGAAAATTATTACAGCTTGCACTGAATACCACAAAAAAGGCATTTCACAAAACTATCCCTAATCAACAATGTCATATTTTTACACATCTGTGTCATTTTATGATGACATCTTTTATACAGGTATGGCCATTGCAGAAAACGTCATGGATTCAATTTACAAAAGTAGAAAAACAGTTGTTGTTATGTCAAAGAATTTCTTGAAATCAATGTGGGGCCAGTTTGAACTTCAGCAAGCTCACAATAGGGCTATATCCCAGGTAAGGTGCTATATAAAACATTGATGAAATAATAAGAATTTCAAATAGAGGCAAAGGATACCAAAATGATATTCAAACTCATAAGTCGAAAATAAACTGACAATGCCAGTTGTCACTGGTATCTTTGCTGAATACTGTGGAATCATTATTATTAGCTATATAGTGTGATACCAATTTTCATGGGTATTGTTTAACCAGGAATTTAAATATTCAAAGAAATACGAATGTTTTATAGGCTTGTATTGAGACTATGACAAAAACACAAAATCAAATATCCAAGAAAAAGTGATTTTTCATTAATTTATTAAAAATTGGTATCCACAAAAATAAATGAATCTGTAGTTGTAAAATTATTCTAATCAGATGCATCATGTTTGATAAATGCCACACACGCACACATACACACACACACTACATATAATAAAAAATCTTAACTACTTAACTTACATTTATTTTCGTTATTTTCCATTTTCATAAATTCAGAAAAAAATGTGTTTTCGTAGATATATGATTTTGTGGTTATTAATACTTGGATTTTTAAATTCATGATTTACCTACGCCCACGAAATTCACGAAATTTGGTATTCCACTTTCAGTCTTAAACATTCCATAATTTAAATAACTTAATTATAACCCACTTCGAAGGAGAGAGGACTATACTGTTTTACAAATGTGTGCCCATCTGTTCCGTCACTTTTTTCTCAGGAACTACAAATCTCAGCATCTTGTAATTTGGTAAAAAGCTTCATGTGAGCTTGCCATACTAAATGATGTGTTTTCACATTAAATGCTCATCAACTAACTGTTTGCCAATACTTTAGTATTCTTATAATTATTCCTACAATGCAAACATAATTATAAAAACAAATTTATATTTAGTGAATATGAAAATTGTTCAAACAAAAGCATAATTTTGATTACAGATTTGTTCACAGGTTTGTAATAAATGGGTTGCTGGTAAAAATTTTCTAAAATTTTCTTTATTATATTTGAGTTATTTCCCTTGGTTGTTATTTTGGAGGTGTAGTTAATATTCTTATTTAACTTACCAAATTGAAACAGGGTACAACCAAGTCTGATAAAAGATCCTGAGTAGATGATAGTGATGGATGAACACATGATTAAGCAAGACTAAAAGAAAAAAAAATGTTCAAAGAACTACGTTTTCTAAAGTCTAGCTGTCAGTGTTAACAAGTTGAATTTTGCTGTTTTATGAAGGAAGTTGTGCACTAAGACCTCCCTGGTGACAAAAGAGGTTAAACTCAAGCTCAAATTGTGTGAATCGAAAATAATTATAGCTGAGGTGTCAACCTATATTTGTTCCGCATAAAAGAAGTTCCCCTGGAGACTTTGTCACACCCCTCTCAAAATGAGCCAAATAGTTATTTTCAATTCTATTTTTTAATTTTTAAACCCCTTCTGCCTCTTTGGATATATTTTTTTGTTGAAAGCTTGTAACAGTTATAAAGTTTTTATAATATTATCATGTGTCACCTCCAACCATATTAATTTGGATTATTTTACTACTCATTTAAATATCAGATAACCTTTCAATATTGGGTTCAGGATTTTAATTGAAACAATATAGACTTTGCACTAACCTTTTCATTTTATTTTGAAACAGTTTATACAAGAGTAAGCTTTTTGGGTTTTTTTTTACATGTAAATTTGCAACTTTGTTGGTTGTCATAATTATATTCTCTTTCATTTTTTTTGAGCCTGCGACTTTTGTCGCAGAAAGCTCAACATAGGGATAGTGATCTGGCGGCGGTGGTATTAGCCAACTTCTTAAAAGCTTTATATTTTCCAAGGTGGAAGACCTGGATACTTCATACTTTGTATATAGATGACTTATGTTATGAAGTTTCCGTCTGTCATATGTCCATTGTCCTTGACCTCATTTTCATGGTTTAGTGACTATTCGAAAAAAAAAGTTCAAATTTTTTGTAATGTTAATTTCTCTATTATGAGTAATAGGATAACTATAATAATATTTAATATGTGCGTACCTTGCAAGGTCCTCATGCCCGTCAGACAATTTTCATCTGACGTGGACCTCATTTCATGGATCAGTGAACAAGGTTAAGTTTTTGTGGTCAACTCCATATATCAGATACTATAAGCAATAGGTCTTCTATATTTGGTGTATGGAATGATTGTAAGGTGTTCATGTCCAACCGGCAGGTGTCATCTGACCTTGACCTCATTTACATGGTTCAGTGGTTAAAGTTAAGTTTTTGTGTTTTGGTCTTTTTTTCTAATACTATATGCAATAGGTCAACTATATTTGGTGTATGGAAATATTTTACAATGTACATGTCAGTCTGGCAGGTTTTATTTGACCTTGACCTCATTTTCATGGTTCATTGCTTAATGTTTAGTTTTTGTGTTTTGGACTGTTTTTCTTAAACTATAACCAATAGGTCTACTATATTTGTTGTATTGAATGATTGTAAGGTGTACATGTATTTCTGGTTTGGTTTATCTGACCTTGACCTCATTTTCTTGGATCATGTCAAGTTTATGTGATACTTTTAGTAAAGCTTTATATTTAGGACTATCAACATAAAATCAATGGTCAGTAAAGAAGGCGAGACATTTCAGCGTGTGCACTCTTGTTATGTGTATTTAAATGAAAAAGTTATTGTTAATTTTTTTTCAGCGGAAGGATGTTCTGATTTTGATCAAATATGGAAAATGTAAAGTTCCAGCAAAATTGATGGGAAAGACATTCCTAGATTTTACAGACAAAACTATAGCACAACATTTTTGGCAGAGATTTTATGATGCAATCGGAAAACCGGGTGATGACATTCAAAAGAAAGAGGAAGGTCAAGATGAAGGTCAAATGAAATACAACGAGAAAACTCAAGTCACAGAAGAAAAAGGTCAAGTAAACAAAATGGACGAAAATGACAAAAACTTTGAGGGGTATGATCACATTATAATAAATTTGAAAAATGAAAAGAACAAAATGGAGACAATAGAAAGTGAAGTCAATGTCAGACCAAAAACATGTGATCGCAGTCAGAGACTTGAGAGTACGGAGTCAAGTGTGAGTCAGGACTCGTGTATTGGCAGAAGGATCAGCTTAGAGGAGCGGAAACCTTTACTGTGTTAATTCTATGTCATCAAAGGCCACATCTATTCTATATATTTTTATGCCCCCGCCGTCACCGGAGGGGGCATTAAGTGTTACCCTTGTTCGTCTGTAAGTACATCCACAAATTTGGTTTCCATTCTATTAACTTTAGTTTGCCTCAACCAAATGTTATGAAACTTATACACAATGCTTATGACCTCACAACACAGATAAAATTTGAATTTGGGTTGCATTACTTTTACCGTTCTTGAGTTATGTCCCTTTATAATGTTATATGCAAGCGGGGGCATCATCTGTGTCCCATGGACACATTCTCCATTAATTTTAGATTTGATTTACTGTGGGTTCGTGAAAATTTATAGGGTAATTATTGATACATTCTTTTATTGGTTAAAAAACAGAAACGTTACTTTAAAGGAGCTATATTGAAGTTTTAATTTGAAGTTTTCAAAAGGAGAAAAAGAATTAAATTTTCCATCTGATGTAATACAATGAAATAATTGATATGGTTTATGTATGTAGTTTACAAAAGGTTATTAGAAAATTCATATCTTTATGCCCATGCCTTAGGCAACGCGGGCATTAAGTGTTACCCTTGACCTTCCGTCTTTCCATCCTTCCAGCTTTCCGTCCATCCCATTTTCATTGCAAAACTTGAGCGGGGGCTTTCATGTCTGCAGACACATTCTCCTTTTATTAAGTATTTGTTTTATTATTTAAGACACTTTTCCAAATTTTTTATGCAAGTGATTCTAGAAACGAATGTTTTTCTTTCAATGAAAACTCTTTAAAATGATAATAATAAAAAAGGCAATTTTTGTTATCCAATATTTCTAATTCAGTACTCAAATTTCTGGCCTAAAATTCAGATATGTCATTTTATAGTTGCTCGTTTACAGTAATTTGTAGGTAAGGTTGTCTTGCTTGTTAATGTATCAGGGAAATTTTAAAAAAAAACAAGACTCGAATTATGGTCTTCTTTTTAGGAATGCATTGATAAAACAAGTTAGGTTTTCATGGGACTTCAAAACTGTTGCTGTAAATGATTCAATCCAAATTTATTTCGGAAAAACAAAATATACACATGTCTGATTCCTGCCTTCAGCATGTTCAGTTAAAAAAAAAAATGGTTGGTCGGTCAGGATTTTTTTTACTTCCAAAAATATTACATGTTCTTTAGAAGTTCAATCCAACTTTTTTACTTAAACATGTTAAATATACAGTTATAACCTAATGCACGCTGCACATTAATTTTGTAATTTCTGATGTTCTGACAACTTTTTCACTCAATATTGGTCGATCTTATTTAATACAAATTTACTGAATAATCCAAGCCACGAAACTCGTGAATGACATTTTGGAAAGGTAATAAAATCTTTGAGGGTTAGCGATTAAACTTGGGGTCAATCAGGATGTAGCTATAGGAAACAGACATATATTTTTTGGTTTCTATTTGATAATTGCTAACACCTATGCCTTTTACATAACCTGTACATGAACACTCATGCCATTATATTTGTAGATTTTCATTGGTGAATTGGATATTATTTTTCAGTGATGGTTGTTGGATTTTTATGTAGTTTGTTGCAGTAAGCCTTTTTTTTTTACCTATCTCTGTAATATTTTTATTAAAAACTTTTAACTGTTAAACATGACATCCACATATATTGAATTTTAATTGACTACTGTAGGACTCAGTATGATGCAAGTTTAAAAAAAAATACAACTTGGGGTATATTAGAATCTCATACAAAGACATGCATATATTTATGAGCCCAAAAACAAATAAAAGAATTGAAACTTATCTTAAGTTATTCCAGCAGTAAAGTGGTAAAGCCTGAAAAGTCCAGCAAAAATTTGTATTTAGCTACTGAAAATAATAACTATTGATTAAGCTTTAATTACAAGAAAAATTCAAGAGATTACAGTATTAAATGGGGATAGATGTATGTTTCATTTTTAACAAATAATTATACCCCGCTTTAAAAAAGTGGGGGTACACTGTTTTACCTCTGTCTGTCCTTCCATCAGTCCATCCATCCATCTGTCAGTCCGTCTGTCCCATGAATATATTTGTCGCATTTTTCTCAGGAACTACTTGACAAGGATTTCTGAAATTTGGTTTCAGGGTTTATATAAGTAAGTTACACCGTGTAGTGCGTTTTCAGATTCATCACTCAACAACTTCCTGTTTACTGAACACTTGTATTATTTTACACATGATAGCCAAGTTGAAAATTTTCGTCACATTTTTCTCAGGAGCTACTTGACAAGGATTTCTGAAGTTTGGTTTCAGGGTTTATAGAAGTAAGTTACACCGTGTGATGCGTTTTCAGATTCATCACTCAACAACTTCCTGTTTACTGAACACTTGTATTATTTTACACATGATAGCCAAGTTGAAAATTTTCGTCACATTTTTCTCAGGAACTACTTGACAAGGATTTCTGAAATTTGGTTTCAGGGTTTATATAAGTAAGTTACAACGTGTGATGCGTTTTCAGATTCATCACTCAACAACTTCCTGTTTACTGAACACTTGTATTATTTTTCACATGATAGCCAAGTTGAAAATTTTCGTCACATTTTTCTCAGGAACTACTTGACAAGGATTTCTGAAATTTGGTTTCAGGGTTTATAGAAGTAAGTTACCCCGTGTGATGCGTTTTCAGATTCATCACTCAACAACTTCCTGTTTACCGAATACTTGTATTATTTTACACATGACAGCCAAGTTGAAAATTTTCGTCATATTTTTCTCAGGAACTACTTGACAAGGATTTCTGAAATTTGGTTTCAGGGTTTATATAAGTCAGCTATACAGTGTGTATACATTTTCAGATTCATCACTCAACAACTTCCTGTTTTCCGAAATATTTTGGCGGGGGGTATCATCAGTGAGCAGTAGCTCACAGTTTTACTTGTTTATAACTATACTAAAGTCTGATTTAAGATAACATTTTTTTCCACTTTCAAACTGCTATTTCAGGGAGAACTTTTTATTAATTGCCCTTAAATTCTTGTTATTTTTTTCATGACATGTACTGATTGTTAATGATTGACATGTACTGATTGCTAAAGATTCACAATTTTATTTTCTACATCTGTTTTATAATTTTATAATTTACAGTATATTAAATATATATGGTGTATATATTGTTGAAGGCCGTATAGTGACCTATAGTTGTTAATTTCTGTGTCATTTGGTCTCTTGTGGAGAGTTGTCACATTGGCAATCATACCACATCTTCTTATTTTTATATATAACATATAGTTATATTTATAAAGTTAAATAAATTTTATTAGTTTGTGATACATTTGTTGTATATTGTATTTATTATTATTTAAGAACTGTTTAATAAAATATTTTTTGTGGAGTGATAAATTCTTATTTTTGTCTTAAAGAGAGCCAATGAGTTCAGATTTGAATACTTTGAAACGGTATTTTTTTTTTATTGCAAATATTGATCAAATTTTAAATTAAGCTGCGACCGAAATGTGAATTTGAAACAGACATTTTCATCAATATTTGCATAAAAATTGCAGTTTTTCTGGTATTCTTTGTTAAGAAAGTTGCATGGTCTCGGAGTGTTATAGAACCCATGCAGCCAGAGTTTTAGGGGTCTGTAAAGTTGCCTGTTGAAAACCAAATCTCTGATTGTGGCTTCTTATATAACATGATACAAAACCTGAGGCATAGTTTAGCAATAGTAATGGTGTTTAAACAAATTATGATTTTTTTTGTATCTGTTTGGGTTAAATTAAAACTATAAACTTAATTTAGTGACGGAGGTATCGATATATCATAACCTGGACTTCTCTTAATTGTCTGTCTGGCAGCAATACCAATGCACTGGGAAGCATCCTTAAGCTGTGAAACATGTATAAAAATCAAGCAATCTCCCATTGAAACATAGATGTTTAATCTAATACTCCTTTTTAAGCCTCAGAGTGTCATAATTTTCGGCACTTTCAGAACTTTTGCAAAAACAATTTGAAGATACCACATATAGTTGCAGATCCAGGGGAGGGGGGGTCGCGAGAGGGCGTATGCTATTCCACTTTTAATCGCCAAAAAAATTCATGTTTTTCTAGATATATATAAATGTTTAGTATAAAAGCATCCAAAATTTGTTTGCCTTGCTCTGCCAGGCTGTTTATATTTATTTAATGGAAATTATGTCCCTTCCCTCATTTAAAAAATCCTTGTCCAGAAATTTTCTTAAAGCGGGGGGGGGGGGGGGGGGGGGGGGGGGCACTGACTGCAAAAGAGGGGGCCAGCTCCAGTCATACTTCAGTGATTCCCTAAATAACCAATTTTTTTCCCACAAAAAGGGACAATTCAAATTTCTTTTCCACCATTCCAGTCCAGTCCAACTACTTTACAGTACCTACTTATGATTCAATGTATAAAGTCTGCAATAAAAAAAAACATTAATTCAAGACCTAAGAAAAGCAGACAAACCCATGACCAAAAGAAAATCTCGGAAAAGACCAGTAGCAGTCTGTACACACTATGTACACAGAAAATTACCGTTAAAGGTAGAGCAACATGGACTGTAAAAACAGGGGGAAAGCAGCTGCTCAGTAAGAGTCAACAGCTCCTGCTCTACTTGCGACACATGCCATGTTACTCTTGTTAAAATAGATTGATTAATCATATCCAGTGATTTGACATCATACAATAGCCTATTCAATGATAAATGTAGCTTGTCTTATCCTAAGACACTTTACATTCCACTCCACATTGTTGATCGAGGTTTACCACATTAAGTTTCGTTTGAAGATTTTTGAAAAACATGACACATGGCCTGTCATTGGTGCATCAAATTTACATTTAACCTTACTAGTCACATATGTCATCAGTTCGCTCAATGGGCCAAATGGAACCAACCATAGCAAATATCATCTTTTAAGCGTTTAGGGTAAATGTTGTGTGAACATTCACTCTACTAACCAACCAGTATAGATGCAATGCCAAACAAACTGCCATGATACTAGCATGGAATCAACAAAAACTAGAATGATTAAAAAAAGATTTTTTGCTGATCTATCAAATAGCCCAATATTGTAGGATAGCCATCCATAAATGGTTATGAATCTTCAATTTGTTAACATAGAAATATATGTAAAATGAATCAACCCCTATACCATACCATAATTAGGTCGGTTATGAAAAAAGTTTGTAGCTAGATGTTCCAGATTTCTAGTTACAAAGGTAATGTCTTGTTCACAATTCGTGCACAAAAATCAATACCTGAACTCAATTACTACTAAACTTTTTGAAAGAAAGTAAAACAATATGGTTCCTCAATCCCTGTCAAACATGGCGACCACCATAACTACTTAAGAGTAAAAAATATTTTTTTAAAAATACATTAGCACAATGGTATACATTTTAAGTGACTCATTTGAACAAAATAATGAGGGAACAGAATTTCCTAGATTAGTCTCATCATATTGTTCACATCCATTCAAATTATACAGAATATTGAAGAAAAAAAATATATCATCCCACCAATCTTCGACCTGAAACATATACATGCTTTATCATTTTCATTTAAACAACATTATAGAGGGTCTGGGTTTTGGGTCCTTCATTTCTTTATTCTTCCTTTTTTGGACCATTTTTCTCTATTCTTTATTTATTTTGCCTATCATAATATTATTCTCTATTCTATTTATTTTATCACCCCATTGTTGTCTATTCTTTATATTTTATTACCCCATTATTCTCTATTCTTTATATTTTATCACCTCATTATTTTCTATTCTTTATATTTTTTGAACATTATTTTCTATTCTTTATATTTTTTGGCCATTATTCTCTTCTTTATAATTTATCACCCCATTATTCTCTTTTCCTCATATTTTCTCACCCCATCACTCTCTATCTTGATATTTTATCCCCCCATTATTCTCTATTCCTTATTTTATTGGCCTTATCTTCTCCATTTTTTATATGTTTTGCCCTTTATTCATCAGTTTTAGCCCATTATCCTCCATTCAGTAAACCCCATCCAGACCATCATTATAGACACACTTTTTAGTCCCCTACCGACGAAGTCGAAGGGGACTTTAGGTTTGCACTCTGTCCGTCTGTCCGTCTGTCCATCCGTCAGTCCGGCAAATCAGTTTTTCAGACTTTTTTTCTTCATGCTTGAAGATATTGATTTGATATTTGGTGTATTGTTTTATCATGACAAGTTACAGGTCAAGTTCGATTTTCACAATTTTAGCTTTTTCCTTTTTCAGTTAAAGCCCTTTCCCTAGAATTAAATTTTTGATGAAGTACTTATTAATTACTAGATTTCTGTTCAAAGTTAAATAAATCATTTTTTTTAAAGATTTTAAAAAGACATTGTATTAAGATAAATGACATTTTGGATTTTTTTCCTTTTCTTTAGTAAATTGTTTGAAGAATTTGGTGCTAGGTTTGTTTGTTATTTTATGTAGTTTTACACCATGACAAGTTATAGATCAAGAAATACTTTCCATTACAATGAATTGTTAACCGGTAGGGGACTATGTATTGCCACGCAATACTCACAGAATGCTTGTCAATTAAAAAGTGGTTTTAAAAATCATTCTATTGATATATTAATATGGAACATAGAAGTGACTTTCCTGTTTGTCGATGATATGCAATAATATTAACGGTACCAATTTTACTGCACCAGATGCGCATTTCGACAATTAATGTCTCGTCAGTGATGTCAGAATTGCGGCCTAAAATATTTGAAAATCCTAAACCAAATATAAATGTCGATAGTTTAGGGCCTTGATTTTGTTTCTAGCAATTTATTCGTTTTCGCTTAATTAGAAATAATCTGCCATGAACGGATAATGCTTTTTGAGACCGATTTATTGCTACAGGATGGATACACGTTATATCCTTCATCATTTAATCTAAGCAGCTGCCATGATTGTCCTATTCAGTTTATACTAGGTGTCCATTATACATTCCACTACGGCGAAGAATACTAAAAGCTGACCAGACATCATCTGGTATTCTTTGAAATGTCTGGTAACCCGATTTTGCATAGAAACCCATTCTCTGCATGTCTCCAAGAACCGTAGTAATAACATCAACCAAATCTCCTACTTCACTATTTGGATAGTCCAATAAATTGATGTTCGGAGACGTAACACAAATTTTACATTTTGGACCTGGCCACTGTTTTTGGAAAGTTGCCAATGTTCTACGTCCCATGTAAGGTTTTTGAACAAGTATTGCGTTACTAGGTAAATCGTTACGGTTGCGTAGCAACCTGTAACTGAAACGTACATTTTCACCTGTATTGGTTGATTCTGTTTCTATGATAATTCTGTTTTCTGGTACCCCTTTTGCAATCGCAACGTCCCGAAATATTTCCGCTTCTGTCTTTTTCCATTTTCCTGTACAAATTTAATTAAAATTTTAAATTGATTATTAATTGATTGAACATTAGCACTTAATACTCAAAATACCGATAAACTTGGCTTCTGTCATTAGTTAATGCCATTGTCAATATAGGTATAAGTAAGAGATGATGGGGATTATACGTCGATGAACCTAACAAACAAAAATACAAATTAGAAATGTATAGATGCATGGATGAAGTGATGGCTATTTAACGTCCAGTGACCATTATTATGCTAATATGATATGAATATAAACATTGCTTTGTACTTTACCGAAAAGCTTTGAACACAGGGTTTTAAATAATAAACTAGTTCACAAGGTAACAAACCATCTATACGCGTACAATACATGTACATGTACATATTTTTCGAAGTTTACCGAAAGGCGTGTTCACGCAAACTTTAAAAGTACACCTGGACTCTTTTTTCGAAAACTTGGGACAAGTTTAGGAGGTGACTGTATGGAAAAAGAACGTCCGTCTTCTTTTAACAACGTTGCTTCTGTATTCACGGAATGAGTTCATCAAATAAACAAAATTACAAGATACCGTGACATGCTTAAAAGTTTAGTCATTTAGAGCAATAATTTTGCTCTATAAACTAAATATTAGAAAATCCAACATGTTCATGTCTAAAAGAGCAATCAAACAAAAAAGACTTAACACAGCTTGGGAAAATGCGCCTGGTTGTAATATGACTATTTTGCTCTTGAAAATTTCTGAAGTATAAAATATATAATACCTCTTGTTAAATTTCCGGATTTGCCAGAAAATAGAATATATTCAGCATATCGGTCGTGCCATAATTCTGCTGCTCGATCTGCTACTCTGATGTCATGACTTCCTAATGCTATAATGATGTCACCCTATTGAATAAATATACATTGCAGAAAACAATATATATAAATTATGCAGAAAGATCAACACATACGCGATTAACCTTTGTTCTCGCCACTGTCCTTGATGTTATAACATTTGTATGTGAATTATTTCTATCATTGGAAATATATATAAAATGTCTCTGAATAATCTTATTTTATGTTAGTTTGCAGTTACAGTTACATTAAATAAGATACGAAACATTCAGTTCGAAATTATTTCTTGTGAATATGGGTTTTATTTGATGAATTATAGATTGAAAAATACTATAAATAACAGTGCACATAACTGTACCCCATCAACTGTGTCTTACAGACACAAGCGACTTAAGCTGTACTTCAACATCAATGTTTGCTTAATTTATGTTTGCGGAAGTACACTTATGAATTGGCCAGGGGCATCATTATTGTCTAGTTTGACTTACTTTGACTGGTCGATCATCGATTCTGAGGTAATTCCATATTTTCAAAGCAGCATCAATATGTAAAGAAGGTATGACAGGGCAGTGGTCTTTAGCATGTTTAGTTTCGACGCAAACAAAGAGGAAAACGAAAGTAAAATAACGAATTAAGGTATCACTATTCGGCCATATTAACCCAAAAACCTGTATCCGTTGACCAATATCTGACATTGTCCACTTTGCCAAACTATCTAGATTGCTCTTACCGAGGCTTTATACATGATAGCATGCGCTGTACTTATGAAATATTACGAACATTTAAGGAAATGTACCGAGAGTTAACATAGTAAATTATATACATGCCTAGTATCAGTTATACATGTGTATATATGTCTATGCTGATAATGTTATCTGTTTCGGCGTTTGTTTATAATTTTTAAGTGTGTTTACTTAGTATTTATATCGTATGAATTTTAAATTTCAAACTTTAAAAAGAAAACAGACATAATTGATGGAATATTCACATGATTCAGTCACAGCCAATTCCGTATTTTTAGAAAAGAAAAAAAAAGCTTAATTAATGAAATAAAACATTGGTTCTTAAGAGTGAGGAAATGTTATTGATATGTCGCGTCAAGTTCGGATCGTATCATCTATATAAATGCCTGAAATGATTGATTGATTGGTTGAATGATTGATTGATTGGTTGATGGAAGCAGTAATTTTATGAATTTCAGGACGGGAACACCAAAACATATGATATAAAAAGACAGAAGTCCGGTGGGATAAAGCGTTTGAAATTCGGACTGGTCTTGGAAAAATAAGGGTAACATGGATAAATCCAGAAATTTTGCTTTAGCACAGGCTACCTACGGACCTCTTCCAGAGTTTTTGCAAGATTATTTTAACGTGCAGAGCATGACACTCACTCTACACAAGGCAACAGATTTAACGCCCCCATTCCGACCGGGTGTGGCTGTGTATTTATACATCCCATAGAAGTCAAGGGCCGACCATATCTGTATTCCCCGGTCAACCCTTGGAGTTCCATTGGAAAGATAAGAACCAAAAGTGTTAAAATACCAAACATTAATGAACACAGGACGGAGACAGATACATCTAAAGGGGATAAAACAAGGTAGCCAAAACTGTTTAATGCTATCTTCGCTTCGATTCAAACCATTATGAGCCAAGCTTCGAATGCACGAAAAGAAAAGGAGCAGCAAAGAATTTATCAACTAGTGTCAAGAACTAAATGATAAATCGGCGTTCTTTTTTCACTTTGCGCTCTCTTTCATATACCATTTTCGCCGCGATATATCCTTTTTATGCTGCTGCGGCGTACAGCAAACACCAATCAATCAATCATATACTAGTTACCTCTCACAGTTTAAAACAATATATTGTCCATTGAAACAGTGTAGTATTGTTTTGTTTATATATCTTAATGCGCACCAAATTATTCAAGTGAATATGCCAAAGGTACAAACTGTCAATGGTTTATTTTCTTTGACAACTGTGATATTGATGAAAAGTTATTTCAAATGCCAAAATTATACATTAAAAAAAATATGTACGTTAACTTTGTTATTTGAAATGTACATGCAAATGTATATTGTCCTAAATGTGCTGTATACATTATTATCGAAAACATTGTATTATTAACTTGAAACAATGATATTGAAAACAACGATGTAAATATTTGCTGCTTTTTGACAAGAAAGAGGAAACTTACACACATTCAGAATATAAAGCTCTTTCTTTACACCAACTTTTATCTCATTTTTGCATTGAAGGACACCTTAGCCCAAATGAATTAAATATTCTTATCTGAAAGACAATACATACATGTAGATTAAAATAATTTTACTTTGGTTAAAGAAAGTCCTATATTATGCTTTTGTTAGTATATATATGTTAAATATTTGCAAAACATGTATAAAAATTGCAGTTTTTAGCTATCTTTATACATTTGTTATTTGGTCACATGTTTAGAAATGTCATTTTCATGAAGTATTACCAAAAAAGTGCATAAATGAAGTTAAAATTGACCGATTTTTGCATTAATCAATTCAGACGAAATTGGTCCTTCCTCCTTGTTTCGGCGTTTCATAATTAAATGCATTCTGGGTAATGTTTTGAAATGTGTACACCAAAAGTTGTGTTTGGCAAAAACGTCTTACACAATGGAAATTCAACCAATGACGTAACGTTATTATCATTTTGAGGAACGAACAATGAGATTACAGGCAAATTCTTGCGTTAAAATATCCAATTCCCGTACTTGTGAAACATTAATCAGGTTATTATATCTTCCTCATGCAAAGCTCTGATGCATTGCCCGGCTTTTGCTATATTTTTTGTCCTGTTTTGGTTTTATCTGCTCTTCAGTTTTGAATAAGTTTTGGAATGCCACTGACAAAGGAGAATATATTGGACAGGGACAGAAACTTTGCCTTACTACAAGCCTCCTACGGACCCCTCAAACAGTTGTTGCAAGGGTTCCTAACGTGCATAGAATATGACACTATCCCCATTCTGAACGAACGTTGCTTCGAATTTATACACTCTGCAAAGACAAACAGACACCACACTTTGAGCGTTTTACTGCCTGACGGGAGAAGTCCAGAGATGACCATATCTCTAAATCCCAGTCAACTCCTGGACTTCACTTTGAATGCCCAGAGCCAAACGTTTTAAACGTCAAACGTTCATAAATATATGGCGAAGTCCAATTCATTTGACATGCTAAACGGGGTTCAAAACAGGGTAGCCAAAGCAGTTTAGATTGATGTTTCTGTTTCAATCGTTATAACCTGAGTTTTGAATTAAAAAAAGTATCAGCATTGATAATTTATTAACTGGTATCGAAAAACATACTAAATTATCAATGCTATATTAGCAGTTGCATTAGTTAATCATTTATAGATACAAGCAATGTTAATATACCATTGAAAGTTCTTATTCCATTTCAAGTTAGACACGTACTCTTAATCATTCTTTCTCATAGAAAGATTGAACAAGTATCTAATGTCTTTATGAAATATTGAACATGTGTCCCATGCATCATACAATGACCTCGATAAGACAACAGTGGATAACAGAAACTCTTTCTATTAATCGTAACTTATCGGCAATTCTCGGCGTAACGAGAACGGCCGAGAAAAATGAAGATTGTTCTTTTGAATACTACCTTATTAAGTTCTTGGCTAATTCCATAAGAATTGAATTTACAGAATGGATCACTGGGAGTCCAGTGACATGCATATTAAGGACGAACACATTTTAATATGAAATGAATATGAATCATTTTTTGTACCAGGTATGCACGATAAGCCGGCGGATTTCTAACCTGCTCATTCACAAAGTAAAAACCATCAGGAAGAAATATCAGTCTCTCCGGAATCATTCTACATTTTGTGAACTATACAGAAGAAGTCCGGTGCATGTTTACCAAAGTAGCAGGTGTTGCAAATTTTAAAGTTGCGTCCTCTTTTTGGGCAATATGGTCAAGTTTTTTTTTAATGCAAACAAGATTTCCAGCCTTTATAAGACAACGTTGCTCCTTCACGTAATAGGAGTTCCTCAAATAACTAAATTACAAGATGAAAAAGTTATATAGTTTGAAGTAACCTAATAATGCCACATGGTCGAAAATTTTTCTCTTAACCGATGTGGTCAAAGACAGGTTCCCTGTTTCTTATCTGTTTGGCCTTAACAAACAGGATGACACAGACACCCGTTTGTTGCACCAGTGAGAACTAACATAAGGTACTCGAAACCCAAAATTTTAAATCATCACGGAAGAGCAATCAAGATTCTTAAAGTCAACTGAAAATTTCTGATGTTCAATACATATAACCGCTTGTTAAATTTCCTTATTCACAAGATAATAGAATATCTTCAGCATACTGGTTACGCCAAAATAATCACAAGATAATAGAATATCTTCAGCATACTGGTTACGCCAAAATACTGCTGCTCTCTCTTCCACTCTGACATCATGAATCCCGGATGCTATAATCATGTCATTCTACAGAATAATTATATATAAGTAAATATTAATTGAAATAATATATCAACTGAAAATAACTTATGAACAGAAAATTATATACATGTAAAAAACATACCATAGGACTTAATTAAGGATAGCAACAACCCGATATACAGCTATCTTTCTAGAATTCATACGATTTGGTTTAACGGATGCTATTCCCATCTTGAAAACAAAGATAAGATATTTAACTTAAAAAAAAGATAAATTCTAATCCAAAATATATCATTAAATGAAATAAACACTTTATAAATTTCGTGCATCCTAAGCGCTTTTCTAAATGTGCCTTCATCAGGAACGCTCAAATCTAAAATTTTAATAAAACCAAGGATGCGTAAATGATCGTGAATATGCTGCAACGTTAGAAGCTTTATGAACAAAAGGTCATAAAAATAATAGTTAAATTAGTCTAAGGGTCAACGTTTGTTGTAATATGCCTTCCTTAGAACTCACATTATTTGTCGTATAAAAAAGGGTTTCTCTGTTAATTTCCCTTCATCAGAAATACACTAAGACATAATTTTAACATGTATGAACACAATTTCATTAAGTATGTTTAGTCCAGTTAAATATAAAATAAGGTCTGATAATTCATATGCAATATAATGATTGTAAACAAGATTTAATTTCATCAATTATAAATTACGATGAATTAATAACGGTGTGTATGAAGGTAACTACCAGAAACTTTACAAGGTGAGTGATATCAAACATATTACACCACTGTCCAAAGTTAGGGGAAGGGTTGGGCGCCTGCTAACATGTTTAACCCCGCCACATTCTGCATGTGTCTGTTCCAAGTCAGGAGCCTGTAATTCAGTGGTTGTTGTTTATTTCTGTATATCATATTTGTTTTTCGTTCATTATTTTGTACATAAATCAGGCCATTAGTTTTTTCGTTTGAATTGTTTTACATTTGTCATTTAGGGGCCTTTTTAAGCTGACTATACGGTATGGGTTTTATTCATTGTTGAACTCCGTACGGTGACCTATAGTTGTTAATTTCTGTGTCATTTGGTCCTTTGTGGAGAGTTGTCTCGTTGGCAATCATACCACATCTTCATATTCTTATATTATATTGTTTTTGTTTGTTATATGACCTACTTTGACAGGTTGGTAATCGATTCTTAGGTAATTCCATATTTTCAAAGCAGCATCAATATGTATAAGAAGAATAACAGGACATTGGTTTTTAGTGAGACGCAAACGGAAAACAAAACGAAAGTAAAATAACGAATTATGGTATCAATTCTCGCCAATATTATAGGAATCCCCAAAATCAGTATCTATTTTCAGTATCAATCATAGTTCATATTTACTGGATTCCAGATTTC